CACACACACACACACACACACACACACACACACACACACACACACACTGGCAAAACTCTCCTGAACAATCAGAGAGCTCCAGTAAGCACTGAAGAGGACCCATCATCTAGAACCAAGCCCCCAGCCACTCCTCAGGTCCCAGTCCCACATCCCCATCCCACCTGCCATGCCGTCCCCTAGCTCACCCCGCGGATGTCCCAGTATCCTAGTGTCATAGGCATGGTGGGCTAAGCTGAGGCCAGGCTGGCCTCCAACTTCAGTCTGAGGCGGCGGCACAGAGGGGTGGAGCCTGGTTTGGGTTGGGTCTGTGGCCCGCCCAGCCCCGCCCCGCCCCGCCCCGCCCCGGATTCCCTCCAGCCCGAGGGCGAGCCTGGACCCTCGGAGGGAGGAGCAAGGCTCGCCTTCTCCAGTCCCCGTCCGCGTCAGCGGCTTCCCGCCCCACTCTGCTGGGTGTGCAGGAGTGGCTGCGCACTTAAAGACAGGTCCGTTGGTGACAGAGCAAGGTCGTTGTTCCTCCTTCCCCTCCTCACATTACTCAGTCTTGGCTCCTGGGCGAAAACCCTTCTGGCTCTGAAGACTCAGCCTGCCAGGTCACGTCAAAATGGAATCATTCAACCTGAGAGATTAATGCTCCTCTTCGTCCACAGTAATTCCTAAAAATCAAGAGGTCTACACGTCTCGACCAAGGTGTCTATTCAGAGATCATGTCTCTGGGGTTAGCAGAGTGCAGTCACTGTTAGAGATCTCCCATTCAAACAGGACTAAACCTCCCAGCTCGGATCTCAAGAAGCAACCTCTGGCCTCAAAGTGAATTACCCTAAAGGCTACAGGACCGTGTACTGGGGCCCTGATTGTTACAGTTCTAGTACATTAACTGTTTCTGGCTTTGGGTTTTACACATCTTCCGTTTCAAAAGAAAATATTTCTAAATCCCACTGTGGAAATGATTTTTTGAAAAACCATTAACCAGAATGATAAATGAGTAAACTAAATGATTAACATGAATTAGAATCATGATTTTGAAAGACACAGGACAGATGTTATACACTGATGTTCAACTATCTGGTCTCTATCCACCGGAAAAAACGTTTGTGGTAGAAGACAGTCCATGTGAATGCAGTTTAGCTATTAAGGACCAAAACTCAGTGGATATTACCTGGGAGGATTTTGGAAATATGGCACATACTTAGTGAGCACAGTGGAGAGGGAAAGAGGTCAAGTGCAGGAGGAGGTCATGCTGCCCAGGACAAGGACTCTGCGCAGCTGGGAAGGTGGGGCCAGAACGCAGGGGCCCCTTCAGAGGAGGAAGCTCTATAGAAGGAGGGAAAGAAGGAGACCAGCAGTTCTCCAAGGTGAGCCCCAGGGCCCAGGAGGAGGATCATCCAAAAGGGTGACTTGGGTCTCTGAAAGGCACCAGGGAGCTGTGGGGATTAGGATACTTGAAAGTGGTCTGAAGCAAGGGATTGTGCCTACCTGACCTCTCAGAAAGTCCCACCCCAATGTTGCTTTTTCCACTGAACATCTACGTGCTCTGATGGTATTGTGTGGACCAATTCTAAATGTTTAGAGGAACACACTGGGATAATCAAAATATGTGGGATGAAATTTAGCCAAACCCCTACAAAGTGACTTCTGGACTAGATTTCAAAACTCCTTCCAGGTCTGTGGGTGACATGCAGTCACCCTCATGGAAAATTCACAGATATTCAACATAAAATTAAGTACTAAATAATTTTTTAGTAGAAATAAATATCAACAACTGGATCTAGTGGCACATGCCTGTAATCCCAGTGATTCCGGAGTCTGAGGCAGAAGATCACAAATTCAGGCTAACCTCAGCAACTTTGTGAGACTCTGGGGATGCAACTCAGTGGAAAAGCACCCTGGATTCAATCTCCCAATCCTAGGGGGGAAAAAAGGAAGAGGAAAGAAAGAGAGAGAGAGGGAGGAAGGAAGAGAGAAAGAAAGAAGAAACGAAGGAAGGAAGTGGGGAAAGGAAGGAAAGAAGAGATCAACAGAGCAACTAAGAACAGAACAGGGAGGAAGAGCATGAGGAAAAGATTAACATTAAACAGAGATGAGTGGAGGGAGAGAGAAGGGAAATCATATGGAAATGGTAGGAGACCCTCAATGTTACACAAAATTACATATAAGAGGTTGTGAGGGGAAAGGGGGGGAACAAGGGAGAGAATTGAACAACAGCAGATGAGGTAGAGAGGGAAGATGGGAGGGGAGGGGAGGGGGGATAGTAGGGGATAGGAAAGGTAGCAGAATACAACAGTCACTAATATGCCATTATGGAAAAATGTGAATGTGTAACCGATGTGATTCTGCAATTTGTATTTGGGGTAAAAATGGGAGTTTATAACCCACTTGAGTCAAATGTATGAAAGATGATATGTCATGAGCTTTGTAATGTTTTGAACAACCAATAAAAAAAAATAAGAGATCAACAGACAAATTTTTTAAGAAATTAAATCTGTTAAATATCATCTAGGTAAACTTAGAACATCCAGAATAGAAAGAACATGCTCTTAAATCTGAAAAGAAGAAAATAAAAATCACCGTTTATAAGATATTGCCAAATTGGAATTAAGGGAAAAAAAATTCCCTACATGTCTGAGATGCCAAGAATAAGGCAATTTAGGGATTTTAGAAAGTTAGCAACAATGTTTAAGGTTAGAAAATTATGGAAAATAATAAAGAATGCCAAGGAGAAAAATATTGAAACTTTCATCCATAACCCTTAAGAAACCAATAGTTGGTTCTCTAAAACCTTTAAATTCGTAAAGCATTTGTCCAATGACAAAAATTAGAAGGGAAATAATAAGTTAATAATAGGATGAAGAAAAAATCAACAGAAATAATTTCTCAAGTTAGGGAAGCTTTTTTTTTCTCAGCAACATATTCATCTTACAGCTAAGTAGAACAAACTCAAGCATGTTAAAATTTGTTAAAAGAAATGAAGATCTGAATAGAGTCATAATGCACCATAAAGAAAAATGATACCACAAAATTACACTTGTTCTTCAGGAATTTGTGGCGTGAATTTTCAAAGCTTTCCAAAGAAGAAGGTGTGACATGAATTGTCATAAACTCCACCCCTCTATGGCATGAGAGACCTGCCCTGGGAAGAAAGGGAGGTGGGGCGTAAGGGGTTATGGGTCTGGGTCCACTATCAGGTGCTGGTATCTTAGAGAAAGAACATGGTGTTGTGGTCAAGAGTGCCCTGTGCTCCTGACCAGTATGCTGGGGAGGGTCAGACAGAGAGAGGAGGGTGTGGAGGAGGGAGAGGGGACACAGTGAACAGCTGGGGTACATAGAGTTCTTTGTGCTCTTTTTTGCAAATTTTCTCAAAGTCTGATACTGTATCAAAATAGAAAGTTAAAAAATACATGCATCACATGATCCACGATACACATAAATATATTATTAGTTGAAATAAAAGCTTCATCACACAAGACTTGCTTTAACTACAAAGAATTGCATCCTGAAATTGCTTTATTCTATTTTTTCACATTTTAAAGTTTACATGTTATTTTCTTAAAGTTTTATTTGCAATTGACACATAATAATTGTGCATATTATGGGGCATAATGATATGTTTTGATACATAAAAATGTTATGTAATAATCAAATCAGGGTATTTAGCATATCCATCACCTCAAGTATTCATCATTTCTTAGTGAAGAGAACATCCAAGCCAGGTGCAGTGGCACACACCTGTAATCCCAGCGGCTCAGGAGACTGAGGCAGGAGGATTGCAAGTTCAAAGCCAGCATCAGCAAAAGCGAGGCACTAAGCAACTCAGTGAGACCCTGTCTATAAATAAACTACAAAATAGGGCTGGGGATGTGGCTCAGCAGTCGAGTGCCCCTGGGTTCAATCCCCAGTATCCCCCCCAAAATAATAACAATAATTAACAAAGGGTCAAGGTAACACACTTCATGGTATTATTTTAAACCAATAAAAGTACTGTAGGAAAAAATATTAGACCCCTAAGTGTCTCAGGTGATGCAGAATCAGATCCATAGCGTTCTTCATGGCACCTTAAATAAGTCTATGCTCCCCGGAGAGCATTCAAATCATCTGTTATAATAATATCAACCATGTTATCCTTTCCTCATAGTGTCTGCTTTGGGGATCATGCCTGGTAAAAAAACCAAAATTAGAAGAAGAAATTGGTTTAAAGACAGAGTATTATATACAACATAGGCCAAAATCAGAAAAATCCACTTGTCCAATAGCATGAGACAACTATGCAAACTATACCTACAGAAAAATGCCAGAGATCCATTCATTATGAGGTGTATGCACACATGTGGACTGCCAATAAGTGCAGATTTTTAAGTGAAATGTGAACGAGAAGAGGAGCAGAGCCTGAGAATGTATTATACATGACAATCTCACCCACTTAAAACATAGGCATCAAGAAAAATCAAGAGAATTTGGAGGTCTATCACAAAAGATAGAAAATATTTTGCTTAATAATTATTCATTGAGCACACACTAATAGTATCGGGGGCTCTTGTAGATATGATATAGATACCTATAACCCCAGGGAACAAACAGAAACCAAAACATGTACCCCCTGCTATTGGCATCCTAAGTGGGGAAAGTAGATAATAAAGACATGGGTTTTGGAGCTGGAGCTGTAGCTCAGTGGTAGAGCACTTGCCTAGCATGTGTGAGGCAGTGGGTTTGATTCTCAGCACCACATATAAATAAATGAACAAAATAAAGGCCCATCAATGTCTAAAAAATATTTAAAAAAAAAAAAAAGACATGGATTTTGGCATTTGTGAATTTTGGGTAATCACGTAAAGTATACATTACCTGCACCCTACAGGTCCCTTCAGTAGGAATTTTCCACCCTCTATCATGCACTTACTATCACCATGGAGTTATTTTCATGAACATGGAATGATACAGTATGCACTTACGTCTTTGTTCTTTTACTTCATGTAACTTCATGTCTGCCAGGCTTATTCATATTGTCGTAGGTAGCATTAGCACATGATTTTTGTTGCATTATAGTATTATGTTATATGAATTATGGAATTATGTTAACAAAACACATTTTTTGTCCTTCTGTTGGTGGAATTTGTGTGGCTGTAAGTTATTGGCTGTTTAAAATAAAACTGTTCAACCTCATTGCACGTGACTCTAGGAAGACGTCAGTACTCATTCTGGTTGGGTGGGGATTCGGGACTACAGGCTCTTGCATGTTTAGCTCT